ATGGACAATTATAAGGCCATCAATTTTGCTAAAATAGGAGATTCTAGTAATCTACCTACCATGCAAAAATTATTAATCCTCCTAAGAGGAAATAATATATTTTCTACATTCAATTGCAATTCTGACTTTTTGCAGGTATTATTGGATGAAGAATCTCAAATTACYGACGRCATTTTCTTGTCCCGACGGTTATTATCAATGGAACTATGTTCCTTTTGATTTAAAAAACATGTCTCAAGTTTTTCCAAAGACGTTTGCAAAATGATCTTCAAAAACTTTTGTACAATTTATGTTGATGATATTATTATCCTCAACAAAGACAAAAAAAAAAACATTATTTTTACGTTTTAAATGTCTTAAACGACATTTTAAAATTTAAAATAATTCTTTCAAAAAAGAAAGCTAATCTTTTTTCTAACAAAGATTAATTTTCTTCATCTAGAAATAGATCAAGAACTTTATCTATCTTTTCAAGAAGATAAATTAATAAAGACCGATGTGTCCATAGAATTTTGGAGAAAAGTTTTAAAAACAAAAACCACCAACCATTCTGGAAAAATTTCAGATTCAGTTCTAAAAAATTCTAAAAAATGCTGGAAAGAATTATTACAGCAATAAAAAAAAAGAATTACTTGCAGTAAGACAAGTAATTAAAATTTTTAATAATTATCTTTCACCAGTAACTTTTCTGGAACAAATAATAAATTTTTTTACATATTTTCTATGGACTAACATCGCAATTAAAAAGTCGTCAAAATACGACGACAATTTTGGTTCTACAGGAATTCATTCACTGTTGAACATCTTCTCGGAGAAGACAACCGATGTCATCCATGACATCATGCTCCTCACGAGCCTTATAAAAGGGATGATCCTTACGACATCTCCTTTCATCAAAAACCCACCTACAAAAAGAGAGGGGGAGATTGAGAGACAAACAAATTTTTACAAATTATTTTGTAAAAAATGGAAGACCTCAAGATATTGAGGATAATGAAGCAGATGCTTCTAATAGAACACGCAGCTCAAATCTCTGCGATTGAGCAAAAAATCAAGCTTCTTGAAAGCTTAGAAACGGTAACCGACATACTGGTAGACGCAAGTCTTAAAACAAAGGTTATTCCTGAGCAAATGGCTCATGGTAAATAATCAACAAATCCGTTGATAGCTGGTGCTTTGCTAAAAAGCATAAACAAGGATAATACTAGTCCTGATCCCATGCTGGGCAAAACTAGTAGATTAGTTAAYTCTAATCCCTCAGCTGAAGGACTCAGCAAGATGACAACTTTGTCAACTAACAAAATGCAGGGACAAAAACTTGCACCAAGCTACCTGGGAGCGCTGAAAGACGACTCTCAAGCGAAATTTTATGTRATYTATTYCGGACCACATAAAGGCATATACACCGATTGGGGTGTAGTGGAGACCTTCTGCAAGGAAGGAAAGACGAAGTCTAAGAAATTCCGAACGGAAGAAAGTGCCAGACTCAGTCTAGCAACGTATCAAGAAGGCTCGTCCTCCACCAGAAAAACCCTTCTTAGACCTAAGATACAAAAGGTCAAGGAAGAACCTAAAGACCAAAGGCTCGCCATGCCCAAGGTTATCCAAGAAGAAGTCACCAGAGAACCGATAACATTCGAAGACTTCCGAGCAATCTGGAATAAAGCAAGAGCTGCATGTCCAGATGATTTCCTAGCCGAACGGTTTTACATCACGGACAAGAAATCAAAGAGTCTCTACAACTTCATCGAAGGAGCAGAGCCAACACTAATCTTTCAAGCTTTCAGAGCAGGATTAGTTCACAACATCTATCCAAGCAGCAACCTGGAAGAGCCTAAGCACTTTCCGAGCCAGATGGTAGAATCAATAAAGAACTTTAGACGAAAAGTTCTAAAAGCAAAGGATGAGCCTTTGTATATCAACATTGTTAGTTCCATTCCAGACTGGCAACAAGAAGCAAGGTATAACCTCTATTACTTCATTGAGATATGACTTGCCAAAAGCAGGAAAAAGATAGAGTCATCTCTACCTATGGAAGACAAAGATCTTCCGCTTACAGAAATTCTGCAACGAGTTCGCGTCCAAGGACTACGAAGGGTGGCAGAAAGAATCCTGGAAACCTATTCAGGATCAAAGAAAAAGGTTTATTATGCCAGCTCAAACTGCATAATAACCAGTTGGAGTTTCAGCAACACCAACACAGACGACATGAATAAGCTATCCATCTTCGGAGAAAGGTTCATGCACAACAGTATTGACGCTTGCATCAATACGAAACAAAACTTCTGCAAACAGGCCACACAGCTGTTTGAAGATCACTGTTGCAGCCACTGCAAAGCTAGCAGCAGCAATAGTCCAGACAGTGAGAACCTTAAGAGGTTTAGATCTTCGAATCTAAGAAAAATTAAAAATATTCAAGGTTCTCTTGATAAAAATAGAAAGTCTCTTTCTAGAATGAAAAAGAAGTTAATTACTCCTTGTCACGCATTGTTTTAATTTCATGTTAGAACAGAAAAATTATAAATTAAAAAGTATTTTATCTATTTTTTAGATATATATTTACTTAAAAATGCTATTTTTCACGGTTAGCAAAATCGGACCGGGCTTTTTAGCCGTCCAAAACGAAGAAGGACAACTCCCGAAGTTGCCCAGACTTAGTTCATAACCCGATTCCGCTTCCAGGGTTATAAACAGAAAAAGTCCACCTTGGGTTTTTACTTGGTATCAGAGCCATGTTTGAAGAGAGGGGGATGGATGGAGAGATCCAACCAAACCAGTCGGTAAAACGACAAAAACCAGTTTTCTTTAAAGAAAACATTCTCATAAGAGAAAATGAAGCTGATTATTCAGCAGATCTTTTGATCAAATAAAGTCTTTTAAATAAGATTTCTAAAGATTTTGATTTAAAACCTTTTATTAAAAAAATTTAAAAATCAATTATGAGCAATAAAATGCAAATTCGGTGTAACAATCGAAACAAAATAACACAGCGTGTTATTAAAGATTTTTGGATCGAAATAAAAAACGATACCAAACAATTGAAAAAGTTAAAACATGATGAATCTGTTTTAAAAATACAAATCTTAGAAATAAGAAAAAATAAACAAAATGTTCCTGGTCTTATGTTTGTAAAATTAAATTTACTTACAACATATATCCAATGCATAAAAGAAAGTATAGATTTGGTTTACCAAATCGAAAAACTTAACAATCTGTTAACAAGATGTTTATGTCTTTTTCAAAGAATCTTGAAAAAATCAAGGAAAAAATCCTTAATCTTCCAACAAAGATTAATGATTTATTAGAAACGTCTTTGATGACTTTAAAAAATGAAGATCATTGTTTTGCAAATTGGCAAACCAAAGTCATTAACAACTTTACAAAAATAAGTTTTGTTTTCACAAAATTCAATAAGTGGTCAATCACTTATTCTCCAACACTCCAATTCAACGGAGAAAATGTTTTGAAAAGATGGCAAAATTACTTTTCAAAAAGGAATTTTTATTTAGCAACAATTGCTAAAAATAAAAATACAAAAACCATTTTAGAATTTAAAAATCTCAATTCCGGTAAAAAATCTGTTGATTTTAAGAAATTTTATTATCAAAAGAAATACAAAAAGAAGTTTAATACTTCTCTAAAAAAGAATACTGGTCCCAGATACTATTACTATAAACAATACTGGTCTCAGTCACGACCAAAAACTCAAGGCTCGATTATGGTACTTTGTAGTCGGTTATGAGGACCAGTTCTGGTCTTAGTCGGGCCCAATTTGGTCCTATTTATTTTTTTTAAAAATGATTTTTTATATAATTTCCTTTTTTTGAATAACACAAAAGTACGTTTGAAAAGATACGTTTTTTTTGTGAGAATATGATTCCAAATCACGAATATGATAAGAATCGTGAACGTTTGTGAGTCGGTATTTTCCCCTATACATCATGACCTATATATAGTGAATAGAGGTAAATGAGACAAAAAAAAAGATCAAAATGGAAAAAATGTTCATATGACCGTTGGATATCGGTAATAAAACAATAATATTTTTGAAAAATTAGGACAGTTCGAGGCCGAACCTTCTTTTTTTTAATAAAAGTGTAACCGGGCCTACTTGGCCATCTCTATCTGACGGTCCTGGACCAGTTATGTTTTCTACAAAAATTCAAGGCCCGGTTCGACATGAATCTGGTTATACATAGACCCGTCTTTATTTTTAGAAATTACATAATAAGTTTTTGAAGTTCTTTTTTGAAGCGTTTCGATACTAAATTTTAGAAATCGTAATAATAAAAAACACGTAAAACACTCTTGTTTTAAAAAAATTTAAAGCGTATTTGAATAACTCAATGAAATATTGTTTAAAGAAAAAGAAAATCTTCAAATAAAACTTTATATATCAAAAAATTGTTTTTTGAAAAAAGAAATTTGGAACCGTTTTCCAAGGTTCTATTCTAGGAACCGGGCTTTGTACATGGAGAACAAATAAGGTGTTTTTGAACTAGACCAGAAACTTTACAAGAAGACAATCTCGAACCTAGACTTAGGGGCTGTTTACCAAACACTTATCCGCTAAACGTTTATTTGTGCAATTTAACATTATCATTTACTTACCCGGTAAGATTTTAGTCCACCAAAACGGTATCGTATGCAACAATTTACCCGGTAAGCGCTTACCATGGTAAGAGTCGTCGTCTTCACTTACTGGGTAAAACTCTTGGTCCTTATCTCGCTCTTATCGAATAATATTCTTGGTTCTTACCATATTAACCCAATAAGATAATGTGACTTGGAATTGGAGTTCACTTACCCAAATAAGCGTTTGGATTGTACATGGACAGCCCATATATCGACGTTTTGGGCTTCTAAAAAAGCGAAAGGGGTCTAAAGATCCGATAACATCCAGTCCTCAAAATGTAAATATGCAAACAAAAGCTGGGTAAAACGGAAACGGACTTCCCCCTATAAATACATGGAGCACAGTCGGAAGGTGTATTGGGGGAGAAATGCTCGGAAAAAATGGATGAGGCTCCGGCGAGAGAGACCGGTGTTATCTCGAGGGTGATTTGCCTCTCTCATGCCACTACATGATCCAATTTGGTTCATGTTGAGCCCATGATTTCGTCCCCCATTATTCACTAATATGGTGAACAATCAAAATCCCTTTGAAGCACATAACCAGAAATAGAAGAAAGCAAGATGTGAATCGAGATCTCTGGTCTCTCTCTCTCTCTTTCTCTGTATATATATATAGGGGGTGTTTGTGATTGCTTATGTTTGGATTGCTTATTTATAACAACTTATGCTTTTTCTTTGTAAAAGTGCTTATTTATGAACATGATGCTTTTGGTACGGTTTCCGATTGATCCGGTAGGTTTTATTTTCCGATCTGGAGATATATCGGAGGTCGTCACCACTGTTGCCAAATAAACATCGAGGCTGTGATGAAATTCTTCTGCATTTAGCTTTTCCGAGCATAGGTTTCCGAGCACTGGGTAAAACTCGGCCCGTATCTTGGCGGGGCAACGCGTTGCAGCCATGGCGGTGTCTGATCCCATTTGTCGGATTCCAGATTTGCAGATCTGAGCCTCTCTTTGAGCATCTCCGTTGGTAAAAGTAAAGACTTGATAAATGGAGGGGAAATTGACCAAAATAACCATTCTGTCGCTTTGGATTTTTCATAGGTTTTTTGTCCATTTATGAAAAACCATTGAGCATCTTGAGGCTGTGATGATGAATTTGAATGCATCTGAGTGGATTCGATCAAAATCTGAGATAATCCGCATCTTGGCTGGGCAACCGGGATGGTTATGTGAGAGAAAGAAGACATGAATGTTTCTGTTCTTTGTTATTGCAACCAGTAAGTTGCAGCCATGGTGGATTTATCCTCTTTGTTGATTGTTTACATCTGAGCCTCACATTTTTCAACCTACCCCGTGTTACTCATTTTCTAGAACATTTTTTTTATTAATCTGGATATTTAACCCGCTATGCAAGACGACTATTCCTAGGCGACCACCTGCTTTGTCGAAGGAAATTTTTATTTCTTCTTGGATTTGAACTGGGACCTTCAGACACTTTTGACCTTCAGAGCTCAAACTCAAACCAATCAGGCACCATGGTTACTGAAACATTATCGAGGCTGTGATGATATTTTTCTGCATTTGACATTTCTGAGCATGGGGTTCTCGGCACTGGGTGAAACTTGGCAAGTGTCGTGGCGGGGCAACCTGAATGGTGTTGCAGCCATGGTGGTTTCTGATCCCCTTTGTCTGAACCCAGATCTGCAGATCTGAGCCTCATCCAATTTCATTATTCCTCCAAAAGTGGATTGAAAGGATGCATTTCGGTTTGTAATATAAACAACTCCACACTCGGATAACATGAGGCATTTTCAGAGGGGATGAAGATGATGATTCCTAAGGGTGGTTGGCCCTCTCTGATCGTACCAAAGTCTGATTTGACTTCATTTGGTCAAACATCATTCTTTGTGGCCGATGATTTTTTCCTGGTAATCAACAACCCTTCACATAGATTAGCAGTTTCTTTGCTGTTGCTGTTGCTGTTGCTGTTGCTGTTGCTGTTGCTGTTGCTGTTGCTGTTGTTATAATCGTTGAGAGTAAACTACACTCTTGGTCCCTCACTAAGGGCCTGTTTGTTAGCCGCTTAATGAGCTTAATGATACTCATGTCATTGCTTATTCGGTCAGCTATACATGACTGTTTTGTAGTGGCTTAATGATATAAAAAGTGTCTTATTTTGGTTGGCTATACAAACCTGTCCTTTCCAGTTAAAAAAATATGGTGCTTCCATCTATGGAAAAAACCTTCTCATGTATTAATCTGCACATACAGCTTTATCCATACATGATTTATAGGGAAACCAACCAAACTGCCCCCAAGGTTTCTTATCCATCTCTTTTATAAAATGAAACGAGTGGATTATCTTGGCAATATATGATGGAGGGTGCTCTTAAGATGCTATGATGATGAACAAAGTTAGAGATAATTCGCATCTTGGCAGGGTAACCCAAATGGTTATGTGAAAGAAAGAAGACATGATTGTATCTGTTCTTCGACAATGCAACCATTTAGTTTGCAGCCATTGCGGTTTTATCCTCTTTGTTCGATTGTTTTACAAATCTGAGCCTTGAATTTTTATTGACGTTGAAAGCTTTCTTTTTCCTCCGAGCTTCTGATCCAAATTACGCAGCGTTCTCAAATTTAAGAAAGAGGGAAATGGTAAACATTTGGATATGTAATGTGAACCAGCTCCATTCAGAGAGGGGATGAAAATGGTGGTTTCTAAGGGTGGTTGCCCCCTTCTGTTCTTGCCAAACTCTGATTTTGACTTTATTTAGTCAAACATCCTTCTTTGTGGCTGATGATTTTCTCTTGAAATCAACAACCCTTATTTGGAAGCTTTATCTAAACACAAGATCAAAAGTTTCTTAACTGTTTTTTTTATTAACCTGGATATCCAACCCGCGATGCTTGCCGACTAATCAACAGTTGTGGACATTTACTTTGGGATGGAAGGAGTATTTTTGTAAATAACGGGCTACGTTCATGTGCTTTCTGGGGTTTTCAGTTTTCTGGGTTTCCTCTCTACAATTCTTTATAGTAGAGAAGATACCGTTTTTAGTGATTCTAAGAGGCTGTGATGACGAATCTGAATGCATCTAAATGGATTCGATCAAAGTTGAAGATTATTCGCATCTTGGCAGGGCAACCATTTGCAGCCATGGCGGATTTATCCTCTTTGTTCGATTATTTACAGATCTGAGCCTCACATTCTTTAAAAATCACCCCCATTTTAAACTACAATTTTGGTCCATGTGGTTTACATCCACCTTCGAAACAACATTCCTAATTAAGTAGAGTCAAGGTCACTGTGGGTTACATTTTGATTTGAAAGTAATAACTTGCGTTAACGTTAAAAATTTGTCTGCTATGTGACGCTGGATCCGGCATCTTAGTGGATTCGATCAAAGTTGAGATTACGTGCATCTTGGCATGGCAATCAACGAGTAAGTTCTATTGTCTTTTTTTGATCGTTTTACAGATTTTTATAATCTGTCCTTCCATCTTGAAATTGTAAGGGGGCTGAATGCTTTTCTTGGTTTTCGTTCTTCGTGTTCTGCATTCGTTTTGACGATGCATATATATGATCATTAGATTATCGTTTTGTAAGTTTCTATTTACTCTGTGTCTTAATGAAATAATGCACTGAATTTTTTAATGAACTGAATAACGTTATTATAAATAATGGATGGATTAACAAACTTACACAATGCAGGATGATTCAAACACTAGCGCAGTACTGTTGGCGATGGATGAATTTTTTCAAGCTCTTAGACAAGAACCACTTCATCTATTTAACAGATGATGGACGATAGCAGTGTTCTGTAAGGCGTTCATGCCGTTATGATAAAGTGTTTCTGTATGGCGTGACTCATGTCATGACGTCTTATGTATTTCTTCATCCAAAAATTTGCTTGAGTATTTTTATAGATTCTTCTCATTACATAGACTCACAGTTTCACGAATTTATACATGTCATGGACTAAGGATTAAAATTAATGTAAAATTATTCTTTTAACTTCTGTTTATAATAGTTTTGAGTAAATTGCATTGTGAGCCCCAGTGGTTTGATAGGAATTTGGATATGGTCCGTCTTTTAAAAATTTGGATATGGTCCTTGAGAGGGCTTAGGGGGTGTTTGTGATTGCTTATTTGAAACTTCTTATTACCGGTTTGACACTGGTATAAGTTGTTTATCCAAACGTTCAAGAGTGTTTATTACCGGTGCCACATTGGGATAAGTCAATAAGTTGTTTTTATAAGTAATCTTAAACACCCTCTAGTTGATTTATGATTTATGTTTCATCTTTTGTTTCAAGAAAATATCGATACTTTCTTTTTCTCTTGATTCTTTTCCTTATGGTTTGGAATTGGGTTTCAATCTCACACACATACAAACACACACACACATAAAGAGACACTGTTTCCAAATGAGATAGATTGAAGAGTCACCTCCTTTAACCAGAATTTACACCTTAGCCCCCTGTAGTTAAAGCCATTTTCAATATCACCCTTCAACCTCATTTATTTACCAAAAAATTCATTTTTGGTCTATTACGATTTCTAAAGTTTTGATGGTTCAACCTTTGGGGAAGGATGGTGGTTAGTTGATACAGTATGCTCGGGTTTTACAAAACACGTTGATGTAGAGTGGCTCATCAATTTGGTTTCCAAACATACGTATGTTTCTTTGAAAGTAGAACGCAAATCAAATTCTACAATCATAAAATACACACTCGAGTTTGATGGATCAATACGTACGTATCCTCAAAATAAATCATGTGCAATGAAAACTAATATTAAAAAAAAATTAACATAATTCATTTATATTTAATATATGGATAAGTGTATTGTTTTGAGTATGAAAAAGATTACCACAATTTTGGAGAAAGTATTGTTTGACTTTTTCAGGTTGACAAATTTTATCACAACATTTGACAATTACCTCATTTTATACCCAAATATCTTTCAAATTTGGATGCCTAAGGATCTGTCTTTTCAGAAAATCTGACAAACAAATTTTGGTTTAATTTGTCTTTTTCTTAATGCAAAATTGATAAACTGTTATTGATATGTCCTCGTTATCTCTTTATGTCTCTGGATCCGGATAAAATACTCAATAATATCTAAAGTTGTGACATGTTTCTTTCATTCTAATGCTTAGTTTGACATTTGACGTAACAATTTTGTATTATAATTCTTAAATTTATTTTATATAAATTTTTCATTTTATGAAAACTATAACTACAATGTAAGGTTGTTCATCGGTTGACATCTATTAGATATGAGGGAATCCAATCGTCCATTGGATGTTGGATTTTGTCAATCGATCTGATTAACATTGGATAACAGATCCAATCCAATCTAATGGATGATTGGAACGGTTCATTTCCATCCATCGAATACTTTTATTGGGTATCCAACGGATGATTCGTTTGGATTGGATCCATCCAGTGTATTAATTCAATTCAATTCAATTCTCCAATAATGATACAAATTGATTAATCACTTTTAATATGTGTTAAAACCAACTCAAGGGAAGTTAAAATTTCAAAATACCAGGCTCAAGGGAAAGAGATAGCAACCAGTAAACTATCTGCTAAAAGCGATGAGGATTGAGGTCGTCTTTCGAACACTTCCTAAAGTACGCTTATTTAATACCTTTTCCTACTCCTGAGCTACCATGAGTTTAGAATCTTCATCGAGCCCGCTGCAATAAGGTATTACTAGCTATAGCCGTCCTTGCTACCCGCTTAGGGGGCGAACTTCCAGTATCTTAGTGCCGTCTGTTAGGAAGCCGATAGCCGCTGACCTATATGGTGTGCTTTTCGTTCCTTTTGCTTCGAGCGCCCTTTCCCCTCCTCCGCACTCAAGTTGCTGTCTTTCCTATGGCTTGGACCTCTATTATCGAAAAAATAAGGAAAGGGGCGACGATTTGGCACCAGAGTTTTAAGCAAATTTAAAAATAAATTAATTGAATAATAGTTGGATGAACAACTAGATGATCATCGGATGATTAATTGAATGTTGATTGGTTGATTTTCTACACAGCCCTACTACAAAGTGAAAGCAAATATGATAGCAAAAAAGTAGGTTTTGTTAGTAACCGACATCACCAAATCCAACAAATAGTCACCATCTGCAACCCTTTTCTTATTCATGGTTGTGCAAACTTTGTTTTTTAGTTTTTGGATTACAGGTTAAATCTACACACTATGATAAAATTGGGTTTATAAAAGACCATTAATTTCAATGCATTCAAATAGACTATTTTATAAGATTCAATTTATAGGATCAAAAAATAAATGGTTCTATCTAAAAGGGTGTTTGAGATTGTTTATAAAAATAACTTATTGACTTATTTCGGTATGACATCAGTAATAAACACTTTTGAATGCTTGGATAAACAACTTATACTCGTGTCAAACCGGTAATAAGAAGTTTTTGAAAAAGTTAAACTCTTCTTACTTATAATAAGTTAGATAAGTGCTTTTGTAGAAAAGTATGAATTGTTTCAAATAAACAATCCCAAACACCCCTAAATGTGTTGTAATAAGTTTATAGAACGCTTTTGAGTGTTTTAACAAAAAATTTAGAACATTTTTAATATAAAACGTCACATTAGCTTTTTTATAAGACACTATTTAAAAAAATATCTTCTAAAAACAAAGTAAACTATAAAAAGATGGGTTTATAGGGCATCTTTTTCAAGAATGTCCTATAAAATAGCTAATGGGATGTTTTGTATTAAAAGTGTCCTAAAAACTTGTTAAGATATCCAAAAACATTCAATAAACTTATTACAACGTCTTTATGTATATCTCATCTTTTTTAAATCTTAATTCAAGTAAAATTTACTGGATCTGTTTCAATTTGTATTTGTACAAGTTGAAGATCAAATTTGACAACTTTTCAAGATTCATTGAAGAATTGACTTATATTTCTGATAACCCTTTTTTATGTGATTGAAAATGTTTGTCAATTTGATAAAGCAATCTATACAATCAATTATTGGCAAACCACCAAATGAGGCATAAACTTCAAGATTGACCTAACATTTGCAACATATTTATTTCACCCTAAAATCAAGAAACTTGTTATGCGAGTCAACTAATTTCAGGACGATCAGCTGTTTTGCAGATAGTTCGGAGTCATTACATTTGAATCTTCATGGCCACAAGGGATTTTTATTCCTCCTTGGATATAAACATGTGACCTCCAGTTACTTTTAATCTTTAGAGCCAAACTCAAACCATTCAAGCGCCACCCTTCTGGTTAGAAATCATCATCTTATTCCTCACCAAAAAAGTCATGACCAATTCTTAATACATTATAGTTATTTTATAGAACACTATTTGAAATGTGTTTTGTATATAAAAATAAGTTTCCTATAAAAAGATGAGTTTATATGACAGTTTTTCAAAAGTGTCATATAAAATAGTTAATGTGACACATTGTATTAAAAGTGTTCTTACAAACTTGTTAATTAAGATACTCGGAAACGTTTTATACAGAGACAGACCTATAGTGGTGCATACGGTGGCGTGTGCCGCCTTATTATTCCTCCATCGGAAGGTAAAAAAAATTAAGTTCGTGAAAGGTGCAACCGTATTAATCTATTGTGTGTCACCGTATGTATTTTGAAACTACATGAGAACAAGTTTTGTTTGATTGAGTTGGTTTGCAAGACTTTTATTCCACCCCAAACCCAAGTTCGAATCATGTTAGTGTCATTTTCTTAGTCAAATGGTGCTACCATTTGAAACTTTTTCCCTATACTTTTTCTTATAATCAAACGGTGCCACAGTTTGAATATTTTTTTTTGGATCTGTCCCTGATTTTATAAACTTATTACAAACACATTTAAATCAGACGTATTAAAAAGTATACATCGTTATGTTACTTTATTTAATCTCTTATAAAATCTCAAGGTCAATAACAAAAGGATGATTACTTAAAAAAAAACAAAACAAAATGATGATACGGAAAATTTCTTGCAAAAGTCATTGATTTTTTTTCTGACGTGAACGTTTTGGTTTTGGATTTGAATATTGAAAATAATCAGAAGGGTATTCATGTAATGCATCGAGATACATTTTGATCTCAATATTTCGTTTTATTTTTATCTATATCGATGTGATACGGTTTTATGTGATTTTAAGAGAAACGATAATGTTTCTATTTTTGAATAAAATTTTAATTTTTTATTGATATTAATATCAAATTAACTATTTAAAAGTTCTTGCTTTGTGTATTTTTTTTAATTCAAATTTTTTATTACAATTTAATTTTTAACAAAGTAATTTAATTTAGGTTTAATAATATAATTTTTTATAAATATAATAATTAAGTATTATTTTAGAACTCAATAATTATCTTAATTATATTTTGGATCTTTATATTTAAAATGAGATTTTTATATTGCATTTGATTATGTTTATCTGCAGTTAGTTACACGAATTCAAACATGGAGCTTTAATAAGTTGTACTTATTCACAATTTATTTGTAATCTTGAATCTTAAGTAATATTTATACTATATTATAAAGCATTTGACAAAAACTTTTAAAACCCACTTTTTATGCGTAAAATACTGTTTATTAATGTATATTACTTAAAACTCAAGATTACAAGTAAATTATGCGTAAGTACAACTTATTAAAACTCAATATCTGAATTCGTGTAACTAATTGCAGATAAACATAATCAAATACAGGATAAACATCTCATTTTAAAT